AATTTTCTCAAATTATTTTACAATCCTTTTTCCCTGATCCTTTTGTTGCGTAGTCCACATAATCATTTCATGACATAAAAAACGATGGACAACCTAGGTACATTGAAGCATAGCTTTCCCGAAAGAACGATAAACAAGGCAAAGGCAACAAGATTCATAGGATTAAATGACATCAACGTATTTCGCTACGTCCTATTCAACTGTATACGGCCATTGCCGAATTATGAATTATAATAAACTGTCCAATTAAGCATCGGCTGAAAGTTGGTAGGCAAACAAAGCAGGCGCAGGTTTGTAAGGTGAAAGGGAGTAGGAAAAAAAGACTGTTCAATATACAACAAAAGCCTGTCAAGTGTGATTCAAAGGGAGGGGGCACAGTGCGGGGCAGCAGTCGGCAATAAGGGGAAGGGATGTGGCGTGAGAGGACGGAAGGGGGAATGAGTTTACGTCCGTTATCAATCCTTACCACGAGAACATGAGGTTGATCACGTGATTCACCTGCTCACAGAGTTCTACCTTTCTTCTCCGGAGAAATTCATCGATAAGCCTTCCAAAAGTTCCCATGCAAAAAGGCCGGTGAGCATCTTCCTCTGTGATCAAGCGACGGCTTCGATACACTGTTGAAAGAACGAACCTCGCCTCTAAGTTGTTGCTCATAAGCACAACACCGGCTATTCTAGTTAGACCACCTAAGGACATCATATCAATGCACGCTACATCAAACTGTCTTTATGAATTTACATATTTTTGCGGATGCAACCATATTAGGCGCCTACAAAGGCAGTTGGCAACGCTCTCAGCAGAACATACGATGAGGTGGTTGTCTGGGGCGGAAAATAAAATAATCAAAAGTTCATTCACAAATCAACTGGTAGATAGTGGCCAGACGTTCAACACAAGGACTGCATGTAAGGTCTGACTTCGGGCGATGACCGAGCGTCTCCTGTGATTTTCGGAACGTGCTGCAATACGGCGAAGAAAACTAGAATTCTCTGAGCAGCCGGAGCACGTGATCCAACTCGAATTTTCTTGGTAAGGATCGATCACGGGCGTTACACCATTCCCTCTCCCGTCATCTCACACCTCATCCCTTCCCCTTATGACCGACTGCTGCACTGCACATTCCCCCTTCCAATCACGCTTGACAGGCTTTTACTGTAACCTGAACTGCCTTGCTTAAATAACTGCCTCACCTCTTACCCTCACTATGCGTACGCCTATTCTCCATTTTCCTATCGAGATTCAGCTTTCTAGGTCGACTGGACAGTTTAGCTTACAAATAGACAGGGACACTATGCAGTTGAATAAGAGGTCACAGAATTCTATGACGTCGTTAAATCCTGCGAATCTCGTTGTGTTCGATTTGTCCAAATATATTTTGGGAAAACAATGCTTAAAAATAATGGAATCCAATAACTTCATTAAAAAAATCTAAGCACGATAACATCTTATTTATAACCATCCTAAAAGTTAAGCTAACAGAAAAGAAATCCTGAAGTCCAAATCCTTGTGATGTTTCTTTCAAAGAAACAAAAATTCCTGTTCCAATTGAGGCTTTATATGTGGTTCTTGGCACTTACGATGAGGAAATAAACATACAAAAAGCATTTTTACGTGTGCTCAAAAACTACCCTAATAGAAAAATGCTAGCGCCGTCGCGCTACTCTGCGTGCACGTGATTAGCCTTCCACCCACTTGCACTTGTCACAGGGTGCCAAGCTTTTTTCTGCATAGACTAGATCCAACTTGGCCCAGATTTCGACCGCGGGATGCCTGC